CCTGTGCCAGGGCCTGTCCATCCTCACATCTCCCAATCTCTAATCTGAACCTCCCCTATTTCAGTTTGAAAGCTCAGTCCCTTGGGTGTACTCAAGACCATCAGTTCCCAGTGATCCCAAAGCTGGCTCAGTTCCCAAATCCCACTTGTCTCTTTCCACCCCCAGGAAGAGCTGCCCCTCACTGGTTTCACACACAAGATTCCTYAAGTCCTTCTCTTGGGACATTTTCCTCTGTTGTTAATTCCATGCTGACACCTGGAATTTCACTCCTTGGCTCTTCAGGCTCTCTCAGGCCCGGCCATGGGATCCAGCCACCATCTTTTTGTCTTCTCTGCAACCCTGGAAATTGGAGAGCACAGGAACATCAGCTCCAGCTTCTGTTTAACAACTGCCTCTTATCGCTGCTCACACAGGACAGGCTGGCTGGGAGATAAAACATTTCTCTGTGATGGATAAATGGAGATCCAGCTGCCAAGCATGGCAACAACACCAGCTTCTGCCTGCCCAGCTGCCCAAATTCAGGGTGTGCTTCTCCCCAGGCCCCAAGTTCAGATCCCAAAGCATCTGGGATTCATCTCCAACATGCACAAGCTCCCTCCTGTCTACAGCTCCTCTCCAAAGCCCTTCCTACTGCTCATCCCACCATGGTGGCAGCTTTTTTCTAAAGTTTCAGCTGACCTGGTGATGCAGGATGGGCCCCATGGCTGCCCCCAGGCCACTTCTGTCCCTTAAAAATATCCCCCAGCATCCATGGAACAGAAGGAGAAGGAATCAGGGCTGTATTTTCTCTAAGGAAACTTAAATCCTGGATTTAATGGAAAAATAGAAAAACAACTTTTGGGAAGCACAGCACTCCTTAAGTGTCCCACTGATGGTGTGTATGCAGAGACAGTCATTGGGCAAAAGCCATCTTGGTGCTACCTTGGTGGAAGAGAAAAAGGTAAAAGCTGCTATTTACTCACTAATCCATCCAGGAAAACAGCTTATGGAATTCACAGTAACAGCTTATGGAATTCACAGTGTGCTCATTTTGGATGGGAAGATCCATCATCCACAGTGCTCTGCCTGTGGCTGATGAGAAAATGTCCTTTTACCTGCAAGGACCCCAAATCTCTGGAGTCACCTGCAATGTGAACACCCTGTACTGGCAGCACTTTGGCATCAGAAGCACCATTTGGCTTCATCTCCTATTTCTCACCCTAAGGCCAGATTTGTGCTGGATCTGATCCCAGCTCCAATTTTTTTGGGATGAGCTGATGCCATTTTACTTCCCATGAAACAGCCACATCCAAAGGAGGGTGAGAGCCATAATTAAGACTCTTGTTGGAGCTTTTTTSRTRTATTTTTTCAGCCCTGACTTGGAMTCTGAATTGGGATATTGGAGCATTAATAAAGTGAGATGTTGTCAGCCTTAGGATAGGGATTTTCTCCATGAAAATAAAATGGTTTTGGGACATGGGCAGGAAAGATGAGAAAACCTGAAGACACTGAACACTTTCAGCCTGCACCCCTGTGGCTCTGAACACTTTCTGTGCAGTTAAATTACATTTGGCTGCTTGGTTAAAGATGGTATAATTATTTCCAGTGAGGCAGACATGGTCCAGACACACTTCTCCTTCCATAACTMCACTAACACTACCCCAAACTCCAAGGAAATGCCATTTCCCAGGTCCCAGGAGGCCATCTGGATGGCAGCAGAGCTTTGCCASGTTTCCTCTTGACTTTATTAAGCTGGAGCAGGTATTTAGTTTCTCATTATCCGTCTGCAGGAAACACTTGAGGAGACACAGCAGCATCTTTCTTTCCAGGGCATGAACAGAAACTGGGTCCTCTGCAAAATTCAGATAYGTGGAGCTGGTTTGTGCAGCTCTTCAGTCATTTCAGGATTTATTTGTGGCTGGATTTGTGTCTAGGAGAGGTTAAAAGAGGCTGGTCCCTGGGTATTCCAAGCCCTGAGCATGTTTCCAAAGCAGAAAGTATAAACACTTTTATTGTGGCAAAGATTTCTCCGTTCTTCCTGCCTTGTGTCATGCAGCCRAAGGAAAAGGAGAGAGTTTTTTCTCTCCTCATAAAGCAGGGTGTGTTCAGGCTCCAACATTTACATCAAACAAGTGCATGGCTCCCTTCCCATCTCTCTGTCCTGCAGTCATGGATTTGCAGTTTTCCTGCTGGCAAATCCGGAGCAGCCAAAGGATATCACTTTGCTGGAGGGTTTATTTTTGCCCCCTGTGCAATGGAATATGCCACAGCGGAGAGGAGATGTGGAAATGAGGAAACCAGTGGAAATGTGCTGTTTCAACTTTCCCCTTGGTCTTCAGCAGCCAAATCTGGGCCTTGGAGATATCAGGGAGCTGTGGATCCTTGTTGGCCTTGGAAAGAATTACAGAATATCCTGAGCTGGGACACAYAGGGATTATCCAGCCCAGCTCCTGACCTGCACAGACCCCCCAAAAATCCCGCCTGTCCATCCCTGGCAGTGCTGTCTAAACGTTCCTGGAGCTCTGGCAGCCTCGGGGCCGGGACCATTCCCTGGATTCTCTGGGGGAGAACGTTTCCTAAAATCCAACCTAAACCCACCCTGGCACAGCTCCAAGCCATTCCTGGGTCCTGTCCCTGCTCACCAAAGAAATAAAGCTCATCTCAAGTGTGGACTCAGCAAAGTGGCTGAGTCTGATGCAGTTTTCCCCATTCTGGGAATATTCAYCAATGTAATTGACCTGTTGGARYRAGTCCAGAGGCCACCAGGATGATCAGAGGGATGGAGCACCTCTCCTACAAAGAAARRCTGGGAAAATTGGGATTGTTCAGCCTGSAAAAGAGAAGGCTTCAGGGTGGCTAATTGCAGCCTCTAGTACCTGAAGGGAGRCTACAAAAAMCATGGAGAGARACTATTTACAAGRGTCTGGAATGACAAGGWAAGCTTTGCCATCCCWTCATTTCCCTGCTCTGATTTAGACTCCTGCTGCTACAAAACCCACGTGCAGARAGGTCTGTCAGTACCTGTGGTGAGAAATAGGACAGCACTGGTCTCCAGCACTGACAAACTCAGCCTTACTGGGGCAGAGCAAGAGTTTTAACCAAAACTAAGGATTTTTTTCCCTCATTTTTCAACATTCCACTGCTGCACAGGAGCTCTGGAGGTYAAAAGCTGTGATACAGAGAGGACAGCACTGCTCAGCTGTTAAATCCCACAGGCCAGATGCACCTGCTGGGTCAGGATGTCCCTACATGGCAGATGTGGGAAACTGGGAGGATGCACCTGGATAAGGATTGTCCAAAAGTCCCTGAATTCCCACTGCAGGTCCAGGACCTCTGCCCTGAGCTTCAGTGGGGAAAGCTGAGCTGACCCCATGTGGTCACGGCCTTGTTATGGCATAATYTTGGTTTTAAAAAGCATTGACTTTCCACTTAGATAAAACATAAAACCCACCTCAAATCCATAAAATCTTTCCAGCAAGGAAAAGGCACCGTGGAGGGAGTCAAGCTAAACCTCTGTCATTTTTTCACACACTCCCAGCTTCCCTGTCAACCAGGCAAAGCAGCACAACATAATGTTCATTTTTAGCATGGATGGGATCTTCCCAGTCCTTCAAATCCCTCAAAATAAAAGAGAAGGGATAGGAGGGRAAACTCACAGCCAGTTTGGACCTTTCCCTTGCAGTAAAAGGTTAAATGTTGCAGTGGTTCATCTGGCTGCAATCTGGGAGCTTCGCCCCCAGATTTTGGGTGTGCCTGGACCGAGGGAGGCCRGTGTGTGTCATCTGGTCACTCAGAGGCTGAAGAAATCAAAAATAAGGAATGTTGATTGTTTCCACGGTTACAGAATGATTCATTCTGATGGTAAAATAGCAGGGGAGACACATGGAAAATGAAAATCATGTCTCAGAAGCATTTTGTGTAATTATTGTGTTCACGAGTTCTGCTGCTCCGGGCTACATGCGTGCCCTGACCTCAGCTATTCATAAAACTGTCTCTTGRGATGAGCTCAAAGTTGGGATTTTTTTATTGAAAAGGAATTAAARCCCTCACTCATGACGTCTGTCAGCCTTGGAGGCTGAACAAGGCCCATCCCAGCACAAGTCTGGCATCCAAGCAGAGCGATGGAGCCTCCAAAAACAATCCCACTGAGATAAAAAYTATCAAAGTGAGGTCCTGGAGTGACAGGACAAGGGGCAATGCCTATAAACAGGAAGAAGGCAGGGATGGATGGGATATTGGGAAGGAATTCCTGGCTGTGAGGGTGGGGAAGCCCTGGCACAGGGTGCCCAGAGAAGCTGTGGCTGCCCCTGGATCCCTGGTGGTGTCCAAGGCCAGACTGGATGCAGTTTGGAGCACCCTGGGGTAGTGGAAGGTGTCCCTGCCCATGGTTTGAGTCGGAGCGAGATTATCCTTAAGGTCCTTTCCCACTCTATCCAGCCTGGATTTCCATGACTCCGTGATCCCAGCCACGGCAAACGCCTCAGCCTTGGCACCCTTGAGGCGGAGCGAGGTGTGAAAAGTGAGGTCTCTCGTGCCTCGCTGCCCTCACCCTTCCCCTCACCGAGCACACTGGCGTGCCTGTGAGGGTGAACGGACCCTTCAGGCGGCGGGAGGAGCGGCGAGAACCCCCGGACTGAACGCGCCATCAACACAGATCATCAGCCGCCATCTTGGCCAAACCGTGAGGGCGGGACGCGGCGGGAGGGGCGTGGCCTCACTGAGGTAGGGGGCGTGTCCACACCCCGCCGACCAATCCGCGCGAGGGGCGGGGACAGCCCCGAAAAGGTCGCGAGGCCGGCGGGGTCCTGAGGGGGCGTGGCCGGCGGGGAGCGCTCGGTGGCGATTGGCTGTTCTCGGCGGCGGAGGGCTGCGATTGGCTGCGCGCGGGTGGGCGGGCGTGCGCGCGCGCGGGTCCCGCCCCCCTCGGTCCCGCCCCCCCTGCCACGTCCGTGCGGCGCGTGCGGCGGGGCCGGCGCGCGGTGAGTGCGGGAAGGGGGCCCTGAGGGGCTGCGGGAGGGGATCTGTGCCAGGGCTTATTTTGGGGACGGGTCCCACCCCCGAGGGGCTGCTTCGGCTGAGGGGCGCTGTGGGGACCCCACCGAGGGGCTGTGTGTGTGTTGAGGGGGGGTTTGGACCGCCCCGAAGGTCTCTGTGTGAGGCAACAGGATGCCCCCCTCACCCCTGAGGGGCTGCGAATGAAGTGAGGGGACCTCCCGCAATGGGACGTGTATGAGGTGAGGGGACCCCKCTGAGGGGTTGGTTTGGGGAAGGGTCTCACCCCTGAGGGGAGCTGTAGGGACCCCCGAGAGATCGTGTGTGGGGTGAGGGGGTGTGGGAGCCCCACGAGGTTCAGTGTAAGGTGTGAAGAAACCCCCCCCCCCCAAAGGGGGCAGCCCCAAAGGGCTGTGTGTGAGGGAAGGGGGTGAGGGGAYTCCCCCAAAAGGCTGCATGTTAGGTGAGGGTTTGAGGGGATCCCCTCAAGGGGCCATGTGTGAGGTGAAGGGTAACCCATTGAGGGGTTGGTGGTGCGGGAGGTTCTGCCCCAAGGGGCTGCTTCAGCTCAGGGGATCCTCCAGGGCTCTGTCACCCTTTACCCCAAAACTGGGGGGCTGGCGAAGCTCTGGCCAAGCACCCACTGACCCTGCCGGGGGTTTGGGGGTGTCCCCCGGGATGGCAGCTCAGCTCAGGGGGTCCCTGGGCAAACCCTGCTCCCATCACGAGTGGGGATGCCGAGATGCTCCAGGGAGACTTAAGCTGTTCACCAGGACAGCCCAGAGCTCTCTTCCTTCCCTCCCTCTACCTTAATCCTTTTTAAAATTTATTTTTAATTGGCATTTTCCTAAGTCATATTCCTGACTCCAGAAAAATGAGTGTAGCTTTCAACTCCATCCTGCTCCAGCTGTGYCGGAAGTAKTTGGAAAARTGACTCTTAGTTGGTCACTAGTTGCTCAAGGAGCATCAAAAATTTTATTTCCTCCTGTGAGCTGGRTGTGCTGTAACCCTGAGCTGGAGTTCATGAGGTTTGCTTAATTCTGACACTGTTTGARTGTTGGTATGGCTGCTTGGGGATTCTGGGGGATAGAGGAAAAGTAACATTGGAATAGTTGGGATGCTGGAACAGAGAAATCTATGGAATTTATTTTCTTTACAATTAATCTTTCCTGCTGTTTCATTTTGAATATTCACGTGGGATGAGAGCTTGTGTTGCTGTTTAATTGGTGTAATGGTAATTTTTTTACTTTTATTTGCAAAGTTAGGATGGGAACTGGGATTTAAAGGCCAATGTGTACTCACAGATGCCATAAAAATTTTTGTGGGTTTTTTTTTATTTTAAGAAGCTATTTTTTCAGTTGCATTTCTAGAGCCACTTTCACTTTTGAGGCTCATTGCGCTGTGATGCTTCACAGCAAACATGTTCTGTTCTTTCTCTGGGCTCTGAGGTGTCTTATTTYAAAAAGTGTCATCCCAAACACTTTTTTCTTTCTGCTGCTTATTTGGCCTGACCACTGGTGTGTGGCTGATGTGTAGTTTATGGTGCAGCTAAGGTAATTTGAAGGTTTTTAAAGAAATTTGAAAGTTCCCATGAGCTCTGCTCATACCAGAATGCTGACCAGGTATTCCACAGAGTAATTATTTTCCTTTATCACAGAATCCCAGACTGGTTTGGGTGGGAAGGGACCTTAAAGTTCAYYTCAYAGGGAACACCKTCCACRATCCCAGATTSCTCCAAGCCCCATCCAACCTGGCCTTRAATGMAATARGAAAAAYACATCCCTTTGCCTCCTGTTATCCAGAATAACCCCCAATTCTCCAATCTTTTTAATCATTAACAGGTGTCTCACCGTCACCTTGGCACTGGTGTCTTCTCTGTGAGTGGGCACTGTGGGGCTGTGCTTGGCAGCTGGGCTGGCATTGGGCTCTGTAAACACACAGAGCAAACAGGACAGCCCAGGAGAGGCAGTTTGGGCTGTAAATGTGGCATCACCTGCTGTGGGATGTGGCATCWCCTGCCCAGGAGATTAAATATTTATGGGATGCAACTGGTTGGAAAAAAATGCATTATTTCCCCTGCTGGTTTTAAATTGAACAGGAGTGCAAATGATCTCTAGACAGGTTGTTGGGACGTTTCTTGAGAGTGATGCTTTGATTTCCAGAGAACTGTAGAGGTTAAATATCCTACACAAAGCCTTATCAGGTTGGTTTTCTCCAAGATAAACACACAAGCTCCGTGTGTTGACCGTGGCTGACGTGCACCGTGTCCGGGTGCACACGCTCTGTTTAACCCAGCAGCCTTGGCAGGTGAAGGCTGAGCAGCTTCAGCTGCAGATCAAGTGAACAGCAGTTTATTCATTCACCTGAGGAAGATCTCCTGGCATGCTACAGAGGGAACAACTTCTTTAGAGATTAAACCATGCCTTACCCGTGTCATTCYGCTCCAGATCTCCGGTTGCAGCCATGATGCCTGTGGCCACTGTGATGCCCGATGACACGCCCATGTTTGACCCCAGAATCCTGCAGGAACTCGACTGGAGTGAGAACACCACGACATTTTCTCCTGCTATTTCTCCACTGGATCCAGGGGATGGGCTGGTCCTGAGRCCACTTTGCACAGCTGATTTAAATCGAGGTAGAATCCTGCTTTATCGCCACCAGAAATGACACTTGGAGGCTGAATTGGTAACTTGTATTTCTGCATGAGCTCTCGGCAGATTGGGATTGCTCATTTTTCCTGATTTGGGTTATTTTTATCAGTAAACAATTTGATGGAATTACAGAACATCCTGAGTTGGAAGGGACACAGAGGAATCATTGAGTCAACTCCTGAACCTGGCACAAGACACCCCAACAATCCCCTCCCTGTGCCTTGTGCTAAGATTCCTTGGGTTCTGGCAGCCTTGGGGCTGTGACCACTTCCCTGAATGTGAGCACTTGGCACCACAGATTCACACTGTGCTGCTTGAAAATTTGGTTTCCTGTTTTAATTCTAAAATTGAAGTAAAATCTTTCAAATTATCCACACCATGGCTTTGGAGAGGGAGCAGGGTTGTTCATACTGTTCCCTTTAATACCAAAACAACATAAACAAGCATCTTGGTGCATGAATTCTCCTTCAGTTCTGGAATTTGGATCAAAAGGTTGTTTTGGACTCATRTCATTCAGGCTTACTTGAGCTTTAGCCAATCCTTCAACATTGCTCAATCCCATTGTGATGGGATGGTGCCACAGGGATGGTCCTTCTCCAAACAGCTGTGTTGGGTTGTTCTGTGCTATTTGGAGCTGATTGTGTGTCTGTCCCTCACTGAGAATTGTTTTGTTCCTCTCCTTTCCTAACAGGCTTTTTTAAGGTTCTGGGTCAGCTGACGGAAACCGGAGTTGTGAGCCCGGAGCAGTTCATCAGTGAGTACATCATTATTCCTTGGCATTTCCACAGAGGTTGCTGGGAATCAAAGGATACTGATGCWGACAGCAAATCTGCTTGGGTGGGAGGCTCCCTCTGATCCCTGATGCCAGAGGGAGTGATTAGCTCAGCTCCCCTGAGGCAGCCTTTGGCACTCAGCCTTTGGATCCAGTTGCAGCTATCCCAAAAGGCTGCTTGGCTGGGACAAGCCAAAATTGCAAAATTGTGAATCTGCTTTATAGACTGAGCTTGGTAGGATGGATTATTTGGGCTACATTTGGATTATTCCAAGCCCCATCCAACCTGCCCTGGAATACTTCCCAGCTTCCTTGAACAACCTGTGGCAGGCCTCACCACCCTCACAGCCAGGAATTCCTTCCCARTATCCCATCTAACCCTGCCCTSTGRCARTGGGAAGCATTGCCCCTGGTGCTGTCCCTTGAGGCCTTGKTCAAAGTCCCTCTCCAGCTCTCTTGGAGCCCCTTTAGATCTTTGTTAGATCTGCTCCCTGGCTGGGCAGGCACTGGGGAAGCAGCCCAGGGATGCAGGGAATCACAGAATCTCATCTAAACCCACCACTAATCCATGTTCTCAAGTGTCACATCCCCACAGCTTTTAACTCCCTCCAGGGATGGGACTGCACCACTACCCTGGGCAGCAGTGCCAGGGGCAGACAACCCTTTCTGTGAAATTCTTCCCTGTGAGGGTGGGGAGGCACTGGCACAGGGTGCCCAGAGAAGCTGTGGGTGTCCCTGGACCCTTGGCAGTGTCCAAGGCCAGGCTGGACACAGCTTGGAGCAGCCTGGGATAGTGGGAGGTGTCCCTGCCCATGGCAGGGGTGGAATGGGATGGGTTTAAGGTCTCTTTGAACTCAACCCATTCCCTGATTCTATGAGGTAGTGCCTGTGTGCAGAGATGCTCAGCAAGGAGGGTTCTCTGGGCAGCTAAGGAGAARGAATTTGTGTAATTTCTGCTTTTTCCTGGGTTAGTCTGACTCCAGGGCTTTCAGTTTCTTGGGTCTTGGGTTCATTTTCCTTGTGATCCCACAGTGATTTGCAGTCAGATACTGCTGCAAGCATTGGACTTCACTGAAATTTAATGTGAGCCTGACTTGCATGTTCCACTCTGCCTCCTCCCACAGAAACCTTTGAGCACATGAAGAGGTCTGGAGATTACTACGTTACCGTGGTGGAGGACACAAACCTTGGGCAGATCGTTGCTACAGCAACGCTGGTTATAGAACATAAATTCACTCACTCCTGTGCCAAGGTAAATCCTGCAGCTGGGAAGGGAGGGAAAGATCCTGTCCCTGATTCTGGGCATGTTGGYTTTATGGTGTTACTCTGGGGTGCCAATCTCAAGTTTTAGGTTGGATATTGGAAARRATTTCCTTATGGAAAGGGTTGTCCAGCCCTGGCACAGCTGCCCAGGAGCCTCCATCCCTGGARGGATTTAAAAGCCATGTGAATGTGGCATTKGGGGAYRTGGGTCAGGGRTGGCCTTGGCARTGCTGGGAAACATTCAGGCTCAATGGYCTTAGAGGGCTTTTTTAACCTYAAAGATGTAAATATTTTAMATATATAAASGATCAGCTATTTTCTGCTTTTTATAAATATCTSACATCTTTGAGTGCTGAGCCAATAGCAGAAGGAAAGTGGCTTTTCCTAAGAAAAAGGAGCACTTGGAGCTCTGTCCCATTGTCCCAGTGWGCTTTTGAAGGAGTCAGACACGGTTCTGACAGAGCAGATGGCTCAGGATCTCTGTGCTGGGAGTCCCAGCCAGGCTGTGAAAACAGGGAGCTGGAAGGGCAATTCCAAGGCTAACAAACACTTGCCTGTGTTTTCAGAGAGGCAGGATAGAAGATGTGGTGGTCAGCGGGGAGTGCAGAGGGAAGCAGCTCGGAAAACTGTGAGTATTCCCCACCTTTGCCATTCAGCAGCAGGTGGGCACCAAGCCCTGGCACCTCACACCTTCCTGCCAGGCACCTGGGAAGAATTCAGCCAGCAGGGATCACCAGCTGGGAGTAAAATGATCTGCAGGAAAATGCAGAGAGTGCTGTCAGCCCTCAGTGCTGTGGCTGTGATAATTTAACTAATTAAATCTTCACTGAGCCAGCATTTAACTGCTGTTTTTTTGTCTTTTTCAGATTAATATCCACCCTCACCTTGCTAAGTAAGAGACTGAACTGTTACAAAATCACCCTCGAGTGTCTGCCCAAAAATGTGGATTTCTACAAGAAGTTTGGCTATTTGGTATCTGAAGAAAACTACATGTTTCAACGGTTCTTTAATTAACAGCTTCTAGGTGTTTTGGTTTTTGTTTTTTTTCTTGGAAAGACTGTTGGTGGAGGAGCTTGTGCTACAAACATTCTCTCCGTGGAAAATTTATATAGTTTATTGCTGCAAATATAACAATCCCTATAAATAATGAACATCAAATGTGTAAATCCTGGGGAAAAAAATATTGAGGTTTTAGAAAGGGTCCTCTGGGTTAGAAATTAAGTTTAGAACTAATTTTTACTACTGTTGAGTCGAGGTGGAGCTTTTCCATTCTAGCTGAGTTACAAAGGACTCGTTAAAGGGATGGTTTTTAACCAAAGGTATATATTTTTATCTCAAATTTTTTCTTGCATTGTATTTTTCTAAAGGTTTGTGCTTCTTTTCTCAGTAGCCAAAGGACAGCCCATGGRATTGTCCTCCTGGCTGTGCTGATGGAAGGATGACGTAGCTGGGGAAAGGATGAGGCTTCTCTTACGCAGAATTAGTGACACAGAACAGGCCTTTGTTCTGTTTTTTTCCATGACACCTCGTGGAAGTGCTGGTGGTGCATCAGAAGTTTTATAGGCACTATTTTCCAAGACTGGATTTGTTACTGATGGTGCAGGTAGGGGAGAATCCTTATGGGCTGTGCTAAATTCCCAGTCTAAAAATGGATGTGCTTCTCACTGCAGGGCTCCTGCACTTTAGCTGATAACTTGGTTTTCAGGATAATTATTTTTTTTTCTGACACAACCCAAACATGGTTTGCAACAGGGCAGAGTAACTGGGAAACTGTAATGTCTGATAGAATATATCCCACATGGAGTGGGGTTCTGGTTAGTAATCACTGGGAAGGGGATTGGGAATGGCAAATTCAGCTTCACCTGAGAGAGCTGGGGGTGTTCAGCCTGGAGAAGGCTTAGAGCCATTTCCATTACCCAAAAATGAGGAAGAGGGACTTTTATATGGGCAGATAGTGCCAGGACAAGGGGGAATGGCTTCCCACTGCCAGAGGGCAGGGATGGATGGGATACTGGGAAGCAATTCCTGGCTGTGAGGTGGACAGGGTGCCCACAGAAGCTGTGGCTGCCCCTGGATCCCTGGCAGTGCCCAAGGCCAGGCTGGACAGGGCTTGGAGCAGCCTGAGACAGTGGAAAGTGTCCCTGTTGGAATGAGATGGGCTTTAAGGTCCTTTCCAACCCAAACCATTCTGGGATTCACTGAACACACCTGGCCAAGTCACTGCAACTCCAGCGAGCCAGGTGAGCTCTGGTTTTGCCAGTAGGGATCTCCACCTGTGGCAAACCAGGACAGAAATCCCCCCCCTTCTGCTCCTGAGGGATTGTTGCTGCTTTGGAGCTTCCCTCTCACTGTAAGATTGGATAAATTATTTTAGCACTTTTGCCAAGGGTGGCGAGCAAATAACGTCGAAAGCCCTGTTCCCAACAGTGGTGTTTTGTGTGGGGAGTGACAAATCCCACATCCATGAATAGGGCATTATAACCAGCTGGGGTTGTTTGTGGGCAGCCAGGCYTTCCACACTGTCCTGCTTTGTGCTCTGGAGAGCAGCTCTACACTGYTGGGGGCTCTGCTTGATCTTCCTGAGGGTTCTCCACTCCATACAGTGTCTCTTTGGTGATGTCTGGTTTATTTATTGATTATTTTTTTAAGGAATATCTTTGTTTAAGCTGAATAAATGATTGCCACCTGTATCTGGATTGTTTTCATGGGGTAAGGATGTACTTTTTGAACAGTGGTACCTGTTTCCCCATCCCTAGGCTGAAAGGAACACTTTTTAGGAATTCCTTATGGATTTCTCTCCCAGAAGAGTGCAGATGGGCTTGGCTTGAGCCCTAATTCTAAACTAATTCTGTAAAGCAGCTCCTTCCTTTCCCAGTTTTAATGAATTCAGAATTTCYACTAATATTAAGTGGATTATTTGAATTCCATGATATCTACACCATCTAAACAGCTCCGGGTCCTCATTAAGAGTTAATGTCAAGATCAGAGTGAGGAGCAGGTGCTGTGGCCCCACTCAGATCATTGTAAAACAGATGAATGGGGTTGAAAGCTGGGGTTTGTGGCTGCATCACAATGGCCCTGCCGGGCACAGCCCCCTCAGAGCAGCACTGAAGAGCTCTTTGTTCTGTCCCAGAGGTGACATTCCCGCCCCTTTGGAAAAAAACAGCAGCTGGAGAGCTGAAGTGCCCAGGCTGGGGACATGGAGGTGCCACTGAGGGGTCAGGTGTGCCCCGGAGCCCTGGGACACCACAGGCACAGGGGGGTGTTTGAAACTGTCACAGGGACAATGGCACAAGGACCAGGGGGGAGGGAAATACAGGAACTGCAGCAGCCCTGAAATTTATCCACTGTACAATGGGCTGAAGAGGAAAAAGGAAAGTCCCTAATAGATATATTATGTGTATATATATATATATATATATACACAAAGAACATCTAAAATATAGACAAGGGTATTATATATGTATATACACAATCTATATAGATTTTATATATATATATCTCTCTATGTAACATTTATAATGTATACGTATTTTTATATATACACATACATATAGAATGTGTGTATATATATATAAATATGAGTATTATATATGTATATATATTTAAAATCTATATGTAACATAATTTATACATATTTTTATATATACACATACATATAGAATGTGTGTGTATATATATATATAAATGTATATAAATATGTATAAAATCAACCATGATCTTGAGGCAAACACCAAACCATTCATAAATGTCTTCCCCCTGGGAAGCTCTTCACTGGATGAGGGGCATCTGGTGTTTTATATATACAATTATATACAGCTATACCTATATGTATTTTATATATATATATATATATATACAGCTATACCTATATGTATTTTATATATATATATATATAAAAATACATAGCATAAAAATATATAAATACATACCTCAAAATAGCAGTATTTTGAGACACAGTTGATTGATACCAGAAAATCCCAGACTGATTTGAGTTTGAAGGGACCTTAAAGCCCATCCCTGCCACCCCCTGCCATGGGCAGAGCTACTTCCACTATCCCAAGTTACTCCAAGCCCCATCCAACTTGGCCTCAAACCCCCTTTTGTCAGAAAACAGCACTACCACCACCTCCAGATATTTAATTTACCCTCTCTGTGATTTAATTTTTTTGCTAAGACCTTTCCTACCCTGAGGAAGAGACCTGCAGCTTTCACTTGGCTTTCCCTAAGCTGGAAAAGGGAACTTCAGCACCTTAATGTAGAACTGTGGATTCCCAAAGGTTAGGGTGCTGTAGTTTTGTGTTTGAAGCTGAGGAAATAATAAAAAATAATAATTCACCTTCTACTTCTCTTTCAAGTCCACAGARAAGGACCCTTCTTCCAGTTCTTGCCTTTAGTTCAACCCCTAAACCCAAATATTGAAACAGCTACTGGCAGTGAAACTACAGGAGACAGACGCAGGATGTTTTAAATAGAYGGCTTAGTAATAGATCTGAGGAAAATTAAATCTCAGAATCCCTTAGAATCTGACAGGCAGACAGACCATAATGACTGTAAAAGGCAGCAGGAGGGGGTAATGCCAYGAAAAAAATTGGATCGATGAAAAATCCTTAGTCATGGAGCTTGTCAGGAGTAACTGAGTCTTGCCAGGACCCCAGAGAGARCAGACCCAGACACGGATGAGTCTGGGGAGATGAATCAGTGCCTTCCATCTGTGTTTCATCCCTCCCCTTCCCCAGGGAGCTCAAACAGATTGGGATTTGATGGTTGCCAGCCCCRTTGCAGCAGAAGCTCATGGCTGGCAGTGTCTGGGAGCTGTGCAGGGCCAGGCACTGCCCCACCACTGCCATGTGGGAGCCTCGTGCTCCAGTGACTGGGAATGCATTTCCCAACTGCCCCCAAACATTCCTTTGTGGAGAGTCAGTTCAGAGCAGGAACAAACCCTCTGCAAAACCAGCACTGCACCCTGAGTCAGCRGGACACTGACACACTGCAGTTCTCTCGCAGGTAACAGGAACTTCCTTTTTTAACAGCTGAAAAGTTTGTAGCTAAAGCATCACATTATTTATTGCAGTTTTTTTTTTCCCTGAAGGAGTTACACTGCTCCATCAGTGCTGGAGGTGGTAGAGGGTATCAGCAGGAACAGGAATGTGCTGCTGACCCCTGGTTCAGCACTACAGGGTCTTCACATTGGATGGGAGCAGAGGTTAMGAGGCTGCAAAGCCTCACTCCATGTCCTGGCTCAGTTACCAGCCCTGACTCCCTGCAGGAGGATTCCTCCTCAGCTGTCACCCCCCATCTGCTCCAAAGCAGCTCTAACCCCAACAAGGATTTCCAAACCAGGTTCTGACAGAGGCTGAGAGCTCACATCTCCCAAATACACMAGTTTTTCTAACAGCTTCATAACGTGCTCAGTCCCCACAGTGCTCCCAAGGGAGAATCAATCCAGTCCTGGCTTTTAGGCAACAAGCATTGGGAAATAAAGCAGATGCAGAACTGGGACTGTGCTTGCACAACCTCAGTGCTGCTGAGACAGAAGAGTCACAGCTGCACAAAGCACCCTGACAATCCCCAATCTGAAAACCTTAAAGCACCAAGAAGAGTTTCCTTAGCTGAGTGTTATTCCTAGGCCTGAGGTGAATCCTTTAAGTCCCAATCCCATTATGGACAGTGCTCTGGGCCTCAAAGACAAATCCAATTTTTACCTCAAATGATGCAACTACTGCCTTGCAACAGCAACTACTCCTTAGAAACCAGTTTGAGGATACACTGTTCTAAATAGTTCAGCTTGAATTAACCTCTATGTTTATGTTATTAAGCACATTTCTTCCATAATATATATACTGAGAACAAGGTGAGTTTTAGCAAACTTTTTCTTTACTAAAGTCTCTTGTTATAAATTACACAAATAACTTTATAAACAAATCCCCCCCGCTTGCATTTTGTTTAAAGTAATAACTTTATATCATACAAATAAAGAAATTTCAAGTATGAAAAGTGCATTATTGCAATAATACCTCTTTGCAAGTCCAAAAATCTTGGTTTAGAATAAAACTGTAAAGTGTAAAAAAGGAGTAAAACAATCAGTGCCATCTATTCATTCAAGAAGTCCAACATCTTAAAAATGATGCTTAGTGTGTTGCAGAGGCAGAYTTACATCTGAAAGCAACATGTAATTGAAAAGAAGCTATGTGTGTTCATTGTTTTGCATTAATTCTTGTTTTTGTTGTTTTTTTTCCCTAGTTTTCTTCACCTTTCTTGGCAGGAATTCTCAGTACAACCAGTGCTTGTCCTCAGTCATCACCTGTTCTGTGCTGCTGCCACCTGCATGGTGCCAAGGTCTTCATCCTCCTCATGCATCCGCTTCAAACTTCCTGCAGGAGGCAAAAATGAACTTCAGCCACAGGAAACCAGAATATTTAAACATTTCACATGAAATTTTGAGCTCAGCTTGCACTGCAAAAGCCATCCCCCTTGCCAAGAGTTTGGGGTTCTGCTGCTCAAGGTTTACTTGGGGAGTGTGAAAAAGGAGAAGCTTCTCACCTGTGCTGCCAGGTGGGACTGAGAGGGATCTCTCCAGCTGCAGTGGGGACATCATCTGGATGGTTAATTTTGCTAGATAGATGGCTTCATATTCCTGGAAAAGATCAAAAATGCGCATTGCAATTACTCTGGCTTTGTGAGGATGAGCAGGACAAATTCAGAGAGCAGCTCACAGTAAGGCACAGATTTGGGAGGAGGAGAATTCTTTGTTSCTTTAACATGAATGAGAAAAAACAAGAGGAAGTCAGGAGAGAAGTTCAAGGATGACTAAGAAAATGGCTTTAAGGAACAAACAACATTCACTTTGCAGCTCTCAGCACCAACCCAGACATTTCAGAACCTCTTAATCACTGCACAACCCAGGATTTTTATTTCTCCTCCATTCCTGGATTTGCTTTGTCCAAAGCTTAAGTCTAAGGAACTGAGGTGCCCACTCATCTTCCTCCCAAAGCTTTCCTACAGCTCTTGACATTTCCTTGAAGCATATTTGTGTAGTAAATGTTCAGTCTAAGTAGAAATGTCTGTTTGGCAGGAAGATGATTCATTAAATKGCTTTTCAGTTATGATCAGGAATTTAAAAAGAAATCACCTGAAGTTGATGGACAAATCCAGCATTAGGATTAATACAGAATCTTCTTTCTTGGACATAAGTAAATGCATCCCTTAAACAGAGAAGGAGAAAACATTTCAGTGAAAAATATATAAAAATCTCTGTGGTTTGAGTCTTCCTTCAGATTATCAGCTTTTCAAAACAGAACCCCTAAACTCTCCCCAGAACTGCTCTGCTCAACTGCAAGTGCCTGGCCAAAGCAGGAAGCAGCAGTTGAACAATTCTGTTTGGCCACCCCAGTGCTCAGCTCAGTTTCCAGTTCAACACAGGGCTTGRAACAGCCCCTGGGGCCTCTCCCATGGTTTTATCCATGGATGGAGGCTGCTGCCCTGCTTCCCTTAGCAGCAGGTGCCCAATTCTTACAAAAAAAAAGGATGTAAACACAACTGCAGTGAAGTGAAATGGAAAAATCAGCCCTTTGTAAAGTTTGAGCTAAGGCAGTTGTTACCTACTGAGACTGAGTGAAAACATAATGGTTTCTGTTCCCTCCAAAATCATTATTCACTCCCACCACCTGAATTAAAACCTGAATGCCTC